GTATTTACTCTTTAATGACGCCAAAACCTATAATTCGTGTTACACATTTTATGTAAAACTCACGATTTTATCCTATGAAATTTAATACATATAAAGATTATTAATTACACACTTAACAATTTAGAATTTTTTATCACACTTTGTGAATCTTAAAAATCAAAAAATAGTCTTGAGTAATACTACGTATAATTATATTCACGACTGATAAATTTTAAATTCACACTCAAATTGTTCATGACCTTTATTTTTTTGTTTAATAATTAATTTTTCGGAGAAGGAATATCTGATTTTTGTCGACTACTAAAAAAACGGTTATCCGTCCTGCCGCCCACGAATACAATGTATGCTGTAAACTCATATTTGTGACAAGTATGATTTCTAATGTTACAAAAAAAAAACTTCATACAAATTTCCGATCAAAAGATATTTATATTATTTTTTACGTGTAAAAAATAATAGAGTTACTTTATGGTAAAATTGAATACAGTAAAATTATAATTTGAGTCCCATCACCCGTCAATAATAGCAATGTTCTTATAAATTCAGATACACGACTGCTAAATGGTACCCCAGTGCGTCGATAATGAAGTATAATTCGTCACGTTTAAAAGGACACTAGGGACCGACACGTGTCGACAGACTAAAATTATTTTTTATTTTATAAAAGCTGTTTCGCGCAGGACAATTTTTATCAAGTTGTATTGTCACTAAAATCTTTGATATTTTAATAAATTATAAAAGAGAAAATTACCTGAGATTTGGCGTTTTTATAATTTTGATAACGCAACTCTGTAAGTTATTTATTGGACATTAAAAAAACCAAAAAATAGGAATGTTTATTAGTGAATTTAAAATACTAGAAATGANTACAAAAAATAGGAATGTTTATTAGTGAATTTAAAATACTAGAAATGATATTAGAAAAAAACGCTAGATTACAGATAATTTTTTCCTTTATAATTTGTTCAAATTTTGGGACTCTAACATCAATATAAACCAAATAAAGTTGTCTTGTTCAAAACATGTTAAAAATCATTTTATTCTTTGTATGACGTCCTCTTAAATAAATATTTGGATATATATCATTTCATGCCTTTTTTTGGTCAGCCTTTTGGTTCAATTTTTTTTTCTTGGTGTATATTTACTTTTT